CACTTAAGCAGATTCTGGTTCCTCTGATAGAAATTTAGCGATTCCGATGAAAAGAAGATTTTGATCATGTTCTCGAGTTCACTTCAATTAACAACTTTCCATTCATTTATTTATTTATTCATTCATTTATTTATTCATTTGGTCATTTTTTAAATTTATTCACTTATTTATATATTTTCCAAGTGGTGAATTAGTGCCGTAAGTAGCTGGTAGTCAGAAGCTGCCAAGGCTGGCGAGTGAGCTGAGTTTGGAATAAGCCTCAACCGAGGTCCAGAATTCTTTTAGATGTCATCTTCGCCACATGTGGGCATTGCCAGTCGTGTAGCAGAGAGATACTCAGCCTTCCTGAGCGGAATTCACATATGATGTCGGTCACCTTTTGAAGTCGATTAGACTATTCCAGTCGTCGCCACAGTACCATTGCGTAGCAGCGCTTCATTTCAACCCTAACAGCAACACATTAAGATCTTTTCCTGTACACCTTCTTTTCGCAACCGCAGACAGCTCTTCTCCTTGAAAGATCCAAATGAGTTTGTGTGCATGGTTCACACTGAGTCCCATTCCGTTAGCAATCAGTTGCTTGCCGCGAAGTTCCCTCCATAGTGCAGAATGAAGAAGAATTCGGACTAGCCTATTTCGAGACTGGCGTTATTTAACGCGAGTATCCTTCCTGATATCCGAGACTGTGGGTATGCTGTGGAATCAATGCAGCCTAGGCGTGGGGTCAACTCAATGGTTGCGTAGGGCTATGCGACCAGGGCGTCGAGCAAGGGGATTCTATTAAGTGTTGCAGGACTTTCTTTTCCTCAAGGAAAAAAAGGCAAAGAAGTCCTAATAAAATCATAAAAGAAATGAGATACGAAACTAATCGCCACGCTTCCATTAAAGTGCACACCAGAAAGTTCAAAAGGCTCACTCTACCTTATCTTTGCTCACGGTCTTCTCAATTTTAGCAAGAAACTCGTATGCGGCTTCCTTGTCTGAATTAAATTCAGATAATTACTATGTTTTCGCGAAAAAAGCAAAAGAATCTCACCTTTCTCAAAAATATATTTAGCTATGGGCAATGCGATTTCCACAAGCTGTAAGGCATTTATGCGATGTTCGAACTCTGAGATGAACCTAAAACAGTGCGAATAAAAATTGTTAGGTTCTCCAAGGAACTTCCGAGAATAGGCTCACCCATCATAAAATTCTTTCTGATTCAGCGAAGCAGTGAAAGCTGGATTCGCTTGCGCAGAACGAATTTCCTGCGTTAATTGATGCCATAACCTAGAGAGGATCAGATCGTTAATCAATATCACGTTCGGTGTACAAAATAGTAGATGTGTAAGGACTAAAGTTGCGGACACGAAGTCCACGAGTGCATTTCCGGCATGAGTAACTTGACAACAGACGAGAACACAAATGATGCATGTCAAACTTCAAAGAAGCGCCTGAATTGAGATTTTGCCTGAAAGGAACACAAACTTTTGGAGGAGACCCAAGGATCTAAAATGTCGATGTTGAAGAAGACAGAATGTTCAGAAGGAAGGCGGTTATGGACAGCTACATGATGCTTCTTTCAAGATGTGTTAAGATGCAACTATTTAATGTTTCGTATCTTAGGACTGACGCAACTATTGTAGAATGGTTATTATAAGAGTTCTGATTCATGAACAGAAGTTAGATCCCAGGCGGGACTCAAATTTGCATGTCCCGCACCAGGCGTGTGCGCTCTCCCATTACGCCACCTCTCAGCTCAACGGCTTTTATGCCGTAGCCTATCCGCACTCACATGCTTAAGGCCGCGTTCATAGCTTGCGACCATGAAGAAATGCAGAAATGCCGAAAGTGCGGAATCTGCAGAAATGACGAAAAGCAACCGATACGTATCGATTTTCCGCACTTTCGGCATTTCTGCAGATTCCGCACTTCTTCACTTTCTGCATTTCTTCAAATCGATACGTATCTATTGCTTTTCGTCATTTCTGCACTTTCCGCACTTCTGCAGTTTCGGCATTTCTGCAGATTCCGCACTTCTTCACTTTCGGCATTTCTTCAAATCGATACTCGTATCCTATCCACTCCTGTTCCGCTCAATTCCCTCCCTCACATTCCCACTTAATATCCCCGACACTACTCCCTCTAGCTTCATCCTTCACATTTCTCTCCATACCGAGCATTCACTCACTGATCGACACCCTCAGTAGATTACGCGTCGCCGAGCCCGCACTTTTACTCCGCCCCCCGATAACATTGATGAATTTTGAACCTACACCCCACATCCCCAATATACCACCACGTTCGATCACCAATCGGCTTACTTCTCAGACGGTCTCGAGTGCACCTTTTCATAGAGATAGCATAGCGGCACATTTCCCTTCGCCACTACACCCTTTCTCTGAACAAGATCCGTCCTCATTCTATCAGCATTGCAAGATTCACTACTAACTAACACATTTACCTCCACAAAACGTCGCAAGTAAAAGCGCAAGGAAAGAATGAACAGCAGCATGTTTCAGATCTACAGATTACTACAAAAAAGACTTACTTTCTCGTGTATAACTGCTCGAACTTCAACCATATGTCAGCAACATCAGGCTTTGCCGCTTTCTTATTCTTTGCGAGATACGCCTCCACTCTTTCGGACATCTCAAAAAACAAACGTTACAGTATCAAACACAACCCCCAAAAAGCGATTGCGACGATAACTCGAATTGAACGTAACCAGTTGACACTTGAAAATGACACAGTTTCAAACCTAAATGAAGATTGAAATTAGCGAAATATTATCAGAAAACGCGTGATGGCGGCAAGCCGCCGCGCGGCGGAAATCCTTCAAAGTCATCGTCTGTATTTTTGCGTAATGATGAATCTCTCAGACGACGTTTCACGTACCGGTGTCAAAGGAAGGAAATGATTTGAGAAAAAAAAACGTCGAACAAAATTTATTTCTTTCCTTTATTTTTCTTGTGTTGAAGCTATGACAATAATGTTGGGACTCGGGCCCTAGGCAGATTTCCTTGGAATTGTTAGTGTCTAATTCGTGTTTGAGTTCCAGATTTTTTCGGTCTCCATAATTACGAAGGTCGAGGTCGCTGAAAGGTGTGGATATGAGAGCTGCATTGTGAGCCCGTCATATGTATGTAACTCTAGGGTCAATTAATGCCTAACTCACAGGATCCCTAATTGGTCGGGGAGGTATTCTTAAAAATAATGGCTAGGCCGTGGGTCAACGCCTCGCTGTCGTACTGATTACTTTTGCGGCTCAAATACTAATGACAGGGTGGTAATTACCACAGTAGTGAAGGAAGAAGCAAAAAACCTGTCGGAAATGCCCCATGTAGGAACCACATTCCAAGCCACGCTTGTGCGTGCATAAGGCGAAGAAAAGGGCGTGGTTAAACGAGTTCTCACTTGTTAGTTCCAACTCTTTTTCCTTATCACCTCACTCTCAACATTCGAAATGGAATTAATTAGTAGTGGAACAACCGACAGCTAACAGTTAAAAATGAAAACAGGGGCGTCGCCGTGGTAAGTGGGCGGAGCCGTGGCCTCGTTGCGGGCGGTCCTGTGGAATGACTTGGGATTCCTGCAGAATGTGTGGCGCTGGAATGCATCCTTTCTGGCCGGCATCATGATTACCAGATAGCTGAGTAACTAAGCCTACCAGTTATGAGTAGCGATATTAAAGGTAATTGGCACGATAAATCTCCCAAGGCGAGTAGGATTAATACGCCTGGCAGGACGGAATTCCGCGACCCTGAGCAGGCGCTGCATAGCGCCTTTCCCAAGGAAGGTGCCCTTATAAGGGCCCTATCAAGCTACAACATGCCGACCCGAACGCCCGCCCGCCCACAAATGGACGACCGTTCTTGACGCTTGTACTGCTTCTATAAGGAATAATTATTCGACTGCCTCGCATTAGGCAGCCCTTATACGCATTAATTTCTGTTTTGCACCTTTCATAAGGCTTCAACTCCTTTTCCCGGATCTTTTGTGGCCAGCCCCGCATTACATAAGTATGCACCTTCCGCAGTGTCTCGTCCTCCTGGGTCGCCTTAGCCACCTGATCTTCATTTAAAATAATTTCCTCCCAAGTTTCAGCCATCATCTGTTTCTCTGCCACTTCATCGATCACCATTTCCGAACTCGGCAGTTCTCTCGGATCCGGTAATCTAGATAACCCATCCGCATTTCCAAATTCGGAGGTCTTTCTGTACTCAATGTCGAATGAGTATATCATCAGGCGGAGACTCCAACGATGCAAGCGTTTCGCTGCTATTGTTGGTATGCCATTTTTGGGTCCAAATATTTTCACAAGTGGCTGATGGTCTGTTAACAATGTGAACTTACGTCCGTACAAGAATTGGTTAAATTTCTCCACCCCATATACTATACCTAACGCCTCTTTTTCTATCTGGGAATAATTTTTCTCTTCCTTTGTTAACGTTCGTGACGCATACGCTATCACTTTTTCTTTACCGTCCGGCATCTTATGATATACCACGGCACCTAACCCATATTCGGAAGCGTCTGTTGCCAATACTACGGGTATCTGAGGATCATAATGTGTCAAAACATCTGCTTGCATCAATCGCTGTTTGATTTTTCTAAATGCGCTCTTTTGCGCTTCTTCCCATCGGAACGGCACTCCTTTTTTCCTTAGCTCGTTAAGTGGTGCTGCTAAAGTGGACAAATTTGGGATAAATTTGCCATAGTATTGTACCATTCCTATAAAAGACTCAACTTCCTTCAAATTTTTTGGTTCTGGCATATTCACCATGGCCTGAACCTTCTTTGGCGAGGGTCTAACCCCTCTGGAATCTACAATGTGTCCTAGAAACTCCATTTCTTCTTTGAGGAATTCACATTTCTCCCGCTTCAACCTGAAACCGGCCTCTCTTAATCTTTTCAACACCTCCTGTAACCGATCTAAATGGGTCACGTCGTCTGGAGCTGTCACTGTGATGTCATCTAGATATATTATTACTCCTTCTATTCCCGCTAGCGTTGTCTCCATTATCCTTTGGAATATTGCGGGTATAGATGCGATGCCAAATGGCACCCTATTATAGACGAACATTCCTTTGTGCGTGTTTATCGTGGTATATTTCTTAGATTCAGCCTCTAATTCTAGCTGCATATAAGCATCCGATAAATCCATCTTGGAAAACTTTTGCCCACCGTTTAACATATGAAACAGATCGT